GGGGTGAAAGAGCATGTGGGTGTGGATATGTGGGGTGTGGGTGGGTATTGGGTTTTTGGGGGGCCATGCATGGGGGGAGAGGGGCTGGGATGTGTGAAGGGGTGTGGGGGTCTGCATATATGGCAGTGCAAGGGGGTGTGGGTGCTTGTGTATGGTGTGGTATGCATGCAGGACTCGCCTTATGAACATACACACACTCTGTCCCTCTCCCCCCATCACTGTATGCGTGCACACACACTCTCTCTCTCCCTCCCTCATTTTTCTCTGTCTCTCTCCCTCTCCCCCCCTCCTTGCAAAGACGGACGGACGGACACACACCCTCCCTCCTGCTCCTGGCCCTGGGGCACCAGTGTGGGCCCCATGCTCCCATGGTCCGGCGATGCAGCCACATGGCACTGGAGCAGGCCAAAACCTGTGGCAGGCAGAGACTTCCGGTGGGGGGGCGGGCAGGGATAGGAGGGGACTGGTGGGGGGAAGGGCTGGGCTGGCCTTGTTGCTGGATCCTGCCAGCACCCCCTGGGTCCTATTGCCTCCAGCTCCTGCTATCTTTGACAGGCAGCCAGGAGCAGATAAATATACATTTTCTAATTTTTTTAGGGGTCCTGCGGGCCATATTTTGCCCACCCCTGCTCTACGCTATACAGTGGTTTTATGGCATGGATAATTAAAACTGTAAGATGGAATTGGTATCTTCCTCTTTTCCTTCCTCTGCTCTCTCTTCTCTGCATTGAGACTAAGATACTTTACCTCAAAACAGGCGGCTACTTGGTTAAGGTTGTGGTACCACAGGAGTTGGTCAACAGCCAGCTCCTCACAACTCTTTATGTCAGCATCAATTTTCTTAGGTATGTCTTGTGTCTTAGTAATGGCCTGAGATCTCATGATGCCCAGAGAAAATATTACAAAGCTGGGAGCAGAGCACTTGTTTTCAGAGTCAAAGAGTCAGGCATCCACATACATTGTCCAGCCCTATGAAGTTGGTGCTTGAAGATCACCACCTCAATGCTGTTAACACTGGTTTCTCTACCATTTGTGCAACAATCTTTCCATTTGATGTGGAGGATTTTCCGGAGGTATGGTTAGAGATACCTCTCCAGGCTCTTGAGATGATAATGGTAGGTCACCCACATTTCACATCCATAAAGGAAAGTAGGGATGATGACTCCTTTGTAGACCTGGATCTTGGTGTCTTTCTGGAGACTGCAATGAATACAGATGCACCAAAGCACTTTCCCAAAAGAGGCACTTGTGCACTGGATCTCCTCATCAATGTTCTCTCTCTGAGAGAGGTGGCTACTGAGGCAGGGAAAGTGCTCAACTACCTCCAGAGTCTTTCCCTTGATGCTAATTTAGGGAGGGGGGTCACATTCATGGACAAGAGCAGGCTGATAGAGTACTTTAGTCTTCTTAGTGTTGAAAGAGAGACCTAAAGTTCAGTAGGTTTCTCCAAAAAGATATAGGCTAGATTGGAAGTTTTCCACAGCATGCACAAGAATGGCACAGTCATTGGCATACTGACAGTCAAGGATTGTTGTTTTGAGTAATTTGTTCTTCAAATGAAAATAACCCAGATTGAAAAGCCCTCCATTCATTTGGTATTCAGTATCAATTCCAGAGGGAAGGCAGTTCTTAATGAGAACCAGGATGACTGTCAGAAAAATGGACAACAGTGTTGGGGCAATGACACACCATTGCTTGAACCCAGTTTGGATGACAAACGGATCTGTCTCCAATCCACTACATAAAATGGTTACAGTCAACCGGTCATGGAAGAACCTCAAGACCTCCACAAAAACAGTACAGGAAACCCTCGCTATTCATGGGTTCAGCATTCGCAGTTCCAAATATTCGCAAATGCCAAACCCGCACTTTAAATACATTTTGTACTTTTACAGTAGCTCATCAGGAGCTCTGTGCTTGCTGCCGCCAGGCTCCCATCACTGCCACCAGGCTCCTGTCCCTGCCACCAGAGCCGTACATCCCCCACCCCACCAGCCACCGGGGGCACTGTGTTTATGAACACAGTGCCTTATTTGTGGATTTCACCATTTGCGGGGGAGATGAGAACGTATCCCCCACGAATGGCAAGGGTCGCCTGTATTAGAACATTAAACAGACTTTTAAAAGACAAGAAAGGACACCAAATAAAAGCCAGCCCAGATACTCTGCATGTAGACCAAATCATGTCTTAAAAGATCCCCGTATCTGATTTCACTAACATTCAAACTGCAGTATCCTATGATGGATACATGGACTAACATGGCAATGCCCTTGACTTGTTACTACTATATAAACATATCAGTTTTCCTATATCAACTGACAATTGGTGTGTCTGTGAAGCCCAGAACATCTTATGTTCTTTATAAATAATTTCTGAGTGCACAACCTACAGCTGACAAAATGTTATCTACCCTAGGATGCTTTTTCCAGCTGAATCTAACTTCAACAAAGAGGGAGTCTTACTTGTATATTCACTTTGTTGTTCCTGCAGAATTATTTTTTTTGTCAGGGGAGGGGCAATCACCGAGGTTGAGGAGTTTGGGAGATATACCAATTTTGGTATAACTTGGTCCTTCGCTTCTGAAGTATTGTATGATGTAACTATTTGGACAATACTGCAGTTTATATGAATAAAAAACTCTTTTAAAAAGGGACATTTCTGTTTTCCTTACAAGACTCACCGGGGCTTGTGGTATGAGCTGTCCTCCCTCCCTTACTCTTGCTATCACAAAATGATAGAAAAAGAAACATACTTTTCACAGAATAAACAAAAGCAAACAGTACACCCAAATCAAATTACAGCACCCCCACCATGCTGACCCAAGGCTAAATTACGCCATCATGTCTGTGAGGCACAGACCAGGGAAGGGATGGTGGAAAGTTGCATGACTAGGGAAAAGGAGGCCTTTCTGTTCGCAAGGTACAGCCTCCTTGAAATCCTCATGCCTACTACTACCCAGCTGTCATGAGATACATTTCATCCCTCTCTCTATGTCATTGCAATTCTGAAAGACAGTTCTGGTGCTGGGACCCAAAAGTCCCAGGGGTGCAGGGCATGAAAATCTTTGTGCTCCCTTGAGTGTAGTAACTGCAACAGGGCCTAACCTTTTAGCAAGCTACACACTTCTCCTGCCCACCTCACTGAATACCTGGTGAAGGGCCAAGTGTGAAAGTCTTATAATGAAGGAGATCAGCTAAGGCTGTTCAATTAGAATAGCTGCTAAATATGAAAAAATTGTTCACTTAATGGTCTGACTACTCCCCTATGTTTCTCTCTCCCTCTTTTGAAACACTATTAAGATAACCCTTTCCTTAAACAGCAAAATCTGAGCACAAGCAAGCATGTGTATGCATTACATAGCATCATTGGTGGTCCATTAAATGTAAAGTGTGCAGGTGCTTTACTCAGTGTTGTTTCTTTTCTGCCAAGGCTATTATTTGTCATAACAAATTAGGGCAAGTGATGGCAAAGGAGACATTCTTTTGTCCTAAAATAATTGCACCAGAAATCTTGGGAGATGTAAACAGTGGTTGTACTATCAGATATGTATGTGTGCATGTGTGAGTGTGTGTGAGCTTGCATGCAGCAATAGGACTGCACCCAATTAAAACTCCACCTGCGGTCCTCCAAGTCACATGAGCTTTACCAAGCTATCTGTCGAAAAGAGCCTGATACGTAAAGCCCGTGGCAGGGAACTGCATAGCACCTGGGAGAGTGGGGACAAAGAATGGTGGGGAGGAAGAGATAAATTGGCCCCTTCCCCCCCATGCCTCCTAAGCTGTCATATCTCAGCTGGGCCTAGCCCCCTCCTTGTGTCAATGGGCATGACTGTAGTAATGTACAGTGTTAGTGTGAAGTATCCACTGTGTGTGGCTCAAGAGAAGGAAAAAGAAAAATAAAGGCAAAAATTCATCATCAGAATTATTTTGCCATGAGAAGTAAGGACTTTCCTAACACAGATGAATGGGAAAATTTGGCTGGAAGCTCAATACCTCTAACATAGGGAAGTAAGGCCTCCCTCTCACTTTCCCAAACTGTCGACTGGCCCAACCTTGGGAATTTTGTTTAATGTCTCAGATTTTAAAGCCAGAGGAACCATTATGAACATCTGGTCCAGAGGTGCTCAACCTACAGGCCACAGGCCAAATGCAGACTACAGAGCCATTGCATCCAGCCCACGGGATTCCCCCAGAGATTTGGCAGTGGGGGAGTAGTGGCCATTAATATGCCACCCTCCGCCCCACCATATTCCCAAACCCTAAGCCCTGTGCCACTAGTCAGAGCCAAGCCATGCACAAAACCTCAGCCAATACCAGTCTTGCATCATGTACACTGCTTCTAGTCAAACTAATACACCTCTTTTAGAGCCAGGTTGTAAAACTCACCCCCTGGCTCCAGACTGCATGGCTCCTCACAGGCTGGATCTGTACTTGGCAGTGATGGGGCAAGTGGCAGCAGTGATGTAGGGGCCAGAAGTATAGCAAGTAGCATCAGAGGAAGTGCAAGCAACAGGGACAATGATGGAGGCAGCAGGGTGAACGGCCATGGCACTATGTGAACACAGCCCTCATTTACCCCTCCTGCTGCCCCTGGTCATGTCCAATGGCGCCTCACAGCCCCAGATTCTGCATCAGGTCCTTCCCCACTAACCCAGTCCTCCAATTCCCTGGTTCAAGAGCAATTTCATGTGGTTGACACACCTCGTTTAGAGTAAGCCATCCTCAGCCCTGTAATTAGATAAAGATGCAGGGCCTTTTGGCCAAGCCCCTTTATCAGTCAAGAAAAGTGTCCTGTACCTGCATCCCCAAGATAAAGCAAATGATTTCACTCCTGGGACTGGACTGTAGTAATGCAAAAAAGCCCCACCTTGGAGTAGAGCTGAATTGGAGAGAACCTCCACATAAATGTGTACGTGGTAACAACAGCCCCTCCACCTCCTCAAGCTGTGACCCCATGAACATGTCTGGGGACAGAAAAGGAAATGAAGCCACAAAGACACATGCAGAGTCAGCTCTCAGGCATGCTTTCTCCTACCCTGCAGAAGACATCTTTCAGGATGTTTGTGATCATAGATGATGCGTAACTATCAACAGTGGGGGGTGGGAGGTGGCACAACTCCATGCCACTGCCACCACCTCCGCCAATGCCAGGCACTGGATCTGACCAGGCTGCAGCCCTGGCCCTGCCATCAGCACAGAAATGGGTGGGGGGGGGCACATGTCCCCTATACCCCACACAATATCTATGCCTATGATGATCTGTCCCCATGTAGTTGGAGTGGGGCCCCATCCTTAAAGAGCTGAGGAATCCTTCTCCCTTCTTGATCAAACATTCAGAAAAGAACAGAAATTACTGGAGACCTACAGCACTTAACTGATTAAAATCAGTGGGTGTTCTGCAATTCAGTTAAATGGAAACAGAATCACACCTCCAGCCTGCCAGTATCCATACTGCTGCCTCCTGTGGTTTGGAAACACACCTATGCCATGCCCCTCTCTCTCCCCATGAGAAAAATTCCTAAGCTACTGATGTGCTGAACCACAGTTCAAAAGCAAACAGCCTCAGAACAGATTTGGGGGAGAACGTAATCTGCTATTATAATGAGGTGAAAATACTGATATTTTCTATGATGAGGCAGCCAATGTCACCTGTGCCACCCCTAATGAAAGAATTCCTTGGTTAAGAAGTTTCCAATGAATTCTCCGGCATGCATCGCTCCCCTCTTCAGGAAAAATAGACTGCAAGTTAACTGACTGCTCAGAGACTCTGGCCTCAGCTCCTCACTTTGTGCTCAAGTACTGGAACATCTGTATGTTGTGTCACACACTGCTCAGAGACCAATGCCAAATCTGTGCAAAGAAAATTAAAACAAAAAAGGTTCCTGCCCTAACTTTGAAATTCCTTGGTTTTGTTTCATGTTATTCTGCAACAAATATTGTTAACAGTATGTGTTTGTATCCCTTTAATTTGGACATTTATTTCCCTTGTCCAAGGTGCAAACACACAATTCTACATAATGATTTTTGATTGTAGTAAGTACATTCTCAGGAACAGACTTTAAAGTTGTACTGAGAAAATTTGTCACTGGGGGCTTCCAAAAACATTCCCAT